GAACAAGGGTCACAAGTATGAGAGTGGCAGACAAAAAGGATTTGGGACTACGTTCTTGGTTTTCCTAATATTCCAGCAGTTTCCAGAATGTTTGCCTCCACATGAACAGATTGATTTAAACTTATTTCACAATATTCATTGAAAGAATGTGAACTCCTGACCAATACTCCTGAATGCGTCACTGCACTTGGCAGGGAACAGGGTTGACTGGGAGGTGGTGGTGTTGGGGGGTTGCTTACAGGACACTTACCTTGGCCAAGAGCGTTTTCCCGCAGCCTGGAGGTCCAGCCAATAGCACACCAGCTGGGCTGGACAGTCCAAGAAGCTGGAAATGTTCTGGGTGTCGGATCGGAGCCTAAAGAGACAGAGGAAACGAGAGAGGATTAGCAACGAGAGACACCCATATGGTCCCCAGGCAGTGCCAGGCCCTGATCACATAACCCACAAAGGAAAAGACAGAGTTGGAGGAACACAAAGATCAGTGCCATCTTTTCATTTTGTTTGTGGGATGTGGTCATCACTGGCTACGATGGCACTGATGGTCCACAGGGCAATTACGAGTCAACTGCACGGCTGTGGGGCTCGAGTTACCTGCAGGTCACACTGGGTAAAGATAGCAGAATTCCTTCCTTAAATGACATCTGTAACCCAGATGGGCTTTGAGCCAACTGGCAGCGGTTACAGTGTCACCATTAGAGTAGGTTTTTAATTCCAAATGAATTCAAATTTCATCAGCAGTTACAGTAGGATTTGAACCCATGACCCAGAACATTACCAGGCGTACAAGATTACAACTTTAGTGAGATTATCAACACTTCAGCAAAATGGAACCACACACCAGCTCCAGAGTCGCATGCCTATTTTGGAGCTGTGTTTTTTATTCATTAACAGGATGAGGGTGTCACTGGCGAGGCAGCATTTATTGCCCATCCCTAATTGACCAGAGGGCAGTTAAGAGTCAACCACATTGCTGTGGATCTACAGTCACATGTAGGCCAGACCAGGTAAGGATGGCAGTTTCCTTCCCTGAAGGACATTAGTGAACAGATGGGTTTTTCCAACAATCAACAATGGATTCACAGTTATCATTAGACTCTCAATTCCAGATATTTACTGAATTCAAATTCCACCATCTGCCATGGCAGGATTTGAACCCAGGTCCCCAGAACATTAGAGATAGTAGGAACTGCAGATGCTGGAGAATCCGAGACAACAAGGTGCAGGGCTGGATGAACACAGCAGGCCAAGCAGCATCATAGGAGCAGAGAGGCTGACGTTTCGGGCCTAGACCCTTCATCAGAAAAGCGTCATCTGTGGGTTCTCCAATAGTGGCCTCATGGCCAATGGCAGCGGACCCATTGTGGGGAAGGTCCTGGGTACGGCTGGGGATTTGGGGGGGTGGAGGAAGCCCGTTTTGGGTGGTAGGCACCAGTAAGTTTACTGTACTTACAGTTTTTAGTGTCCAATAAAGCTGAGTAGAATTGGGAGTTCAGATTGTGGATCCTACGAAGAATAAAAAACAGGAGAGGTCCTTTGCAGGTCTGGGAGAGGGAGGCTCTGAGCTGGGGTAGGCTTGATTGTAGTGCCTGGAGATGCCGGCGCATTGCTGCAAGTGTGTGTTTCAGGAGTCGCAGGGAGAAACGCTTCTGAAGGATCTCAATATCATGAGTGTAGATATTATCACGGTTGGGGCCAAATTGGGAAGGCTTGAATGTGGATTGTAGTTCATTGGGGATGATCTGGTTCCGTAGGCAGGTGCTAAGGAAGGTGATGTGGCTGTAGTACCTGGTTTGCTTCAGGACGTGGTCGAGCAATTTCAGGGCTGAAGAGATTACGAGAGAGTTGCAGTGGGAGAGAGATCCCTTGAGGTTTGTCCGGAGGGAGGAGGGTAACTTCTTCAGGTTAGGCATCCTTCTGATGAAGGGTCTAGGCCCGAAACGTCAGCCTCTCTGCTCCTATGATGCTGCTTGGCCTGCTGTGTTCATCCAGCCCTGCACCTTGTTTTCCCCAGAACATTATCTGGGTCTCTAGATTAACAGTCCAGCGATAATACCACTGGCCATCACCTCCTTGACTGTGTGTAATTTTACATATATAATCAGAGGATAAAGGTTCACAAGCAAATCCTCAAAATTCACTAAACACTGAGAGTGGGAAAACAGAGGTCTGACACATTGGGATCAAAAACAGAAATTGCTGGAAAATCTCAGCAGGTCTGGCAGCATCTTTGGAGAGAAATCAGAGTTAATGTTTCAGAACTGAAGAAGGGTCACTGGACCCAAAACATTAACTCTGATTTCTTTCCACAGATGCTGCCAAACCTGTTGAGCTTTTCCAGCAATTTCTGTTCTTGTTTCTGATTTCCAGCATTGCAATTCTTTCTGTTTTTTAAACATCAGGATATAAGGAATGCAAAAGAGACAGAGAAAGCTGAACAACATCAGCAGAACACACATCTGTGGGGTTTTGAGAAACAGTCAACATACGCTAACCTTATTGTTACAGACTCCAAATTTATCTGTGCTTGAGATGCGTAATCTCCTGAGTCTGTATGTTTATGGGGAATGGTTAGGACAGGTGATCTCCAGTGTATGGAATGTATCCGGTGAGCTGCTGGCTACAAACAGCACTACGTATAGTGAAGGATAAAACAGAATGTAACATTGCAACCAAAACCAATGTCAACGTTCTAGCCAGCTTCAGGCTGGGTCTGCGTACCAGAATAGCCATGGACAGCTCCTCACGGATTTCTTGTAGAGCTCCAATATCAGCCCACGTCACATCGGGCACAGTGGCAAATCCTTCCCGCTTCGCTGAGGGTTGTACTGCCGACACCGAATCAGTGAAATCTGCCATCTCCATATGGAGCTTCTGCAGCTCCTCATCAGAGACAGGCGATGGATCCTTCAGCAATGTACGCAACCTCTCAAACTCATCCTGAAAGAGATGGAGGCAACAAAATCACTGTGTAGTTGCTAGTGAGAACCACGGAGAGGAAATGAGACTTACAGATAGAGGCAACCATTGTGGGCCACTGCCTGTTCAAATGTTGACTCACACAGCAGGAAGCTATTCACGAAGGAGAAAACAGAGTTAACGTTTCGGGTCTGAGTTCTGAGGAAGGATCACCGGACCCGAAACGTTAACTCTGTTTTCTCCTTCACAGATGCTGCCAGACCTGCTGAGCTTTTCCAGCAACTTTGTTTTTGTTCCTCATTTACAGCATCCGCAGTTCTTTTGGTTTTTATTTAGGAAGCTATTCATCTCTGGCTTTGTCTAATCCCATTAATGCTTTCCAAGTGTTCTGTTATCATGGCTGTTATAACAGATCTCAGCATTTTGCCCAACTAATAATGTTAGACTGGTTTGCAATTCTTGGTTTTTCCCTCTCCCTGCTTTTTTAAATAGTGGGCTTACATTTGCCAGCATCCACTCTGTAGGAATTGCTCCACAGTCTGTAGAAGTTTGGAACATAACCACCCATTCATCCCATACTTCCAGGCCAATTCCTTTACTACTTTGGGGTGTAGATGATCAGGCCCTAGTGATATGCCAGTCTTTAAATTGGTTAATTTCCCCAGCACCATTTCCTTACCCTTTGAACGCTCACTGATTTTTCATTATTTTAATTTGTCTCGTCATTTTTGGTTTGGAGCTGTGAACTGAGATCTGGGAGTTGAAAGTGACCTTTGGACTGTGAGCAGCAGCATATGTTAAAAAAAACAAACAAGCTGTTATTTGTTTACAAACCCAGGCTTGCAAGTTAATTGCAGGTTGGTTCTTGATCAAAGAACCTTAAGACGCTTCAATTCTGGAGAGGCCAAATGTTTAACCAAATAGCAGATGTTTGCACAATGGGGCTGGTTCCTGGAATTGGTGCCAGCAGGTCTAGAAGAGAACAAGTCAACAGAGGGAGGGGCCAGACTTTTTTTTGAACTGTTGTGAACTGGGGATTTCTGACAGGAGGAGTTTGGCTGTTGATAGTACAACATGAAGATTTGAAAGCTCCCTGCCTAGAACATAGAACATAGAACATTACAGCGCAGTACAGGCCCGTCGGCCCTCGATGTTGTGCCGACCTGTGAAACCAATCTGAAGCCCATCTAACCTAAACTATTCCATTATCATCCATATGTTTATCCAATGACCATTTAAATGCCCTTAAAGTGGGCGAGTCTACTATTTTTGCAGGCAGGGCATTCCACGCCCTTACTACTCTCTGAGTAAAGAACCTACCTCTGACATCTGTCCTATATCTATCACCCCTCAATTTAAAGCCATGTCCCCTCGTGCTAGCCACCACCATCCGAGGAAAAAGGCTCTCACTGTCCACCCTATCTAATCCTCTGATCATCTTGTATGTCTCTATTGAGTCACCTCTCAATCTTCTTCTCTCTAACGAAAACAGCCTCAAGTCCCTCAGCCTTTCCTCATAAGACCTTCCCTCCATACCAGGCAACATC